ACTGCTCCTAGACCATTATGTCTCGTATCGCACACAATTCGGATATCTTTGAGCACGTAAAAATGCTTTAATTCTACGAGATTCGCGACTTGCTGCTTGAGCATTTCAAATGCTACTTGACACTCGTTTGTCCACACGAAGTCATTATTCTTACTTAACAGCGGGCGCAATGGCGCTGAAATTTCCGCTATGGAGGGTAAATATTTGTGAAGACTATGGATTGAACCCATAAATGACTTCAGTTGCGATAGCGACCTCGGAGCGACTAACTTATCAATCGGGTCTGTTTTACGAACCATCGGCGTAATGCCAGATTTCGTGATCCGATGGCCTAACTATTCGCATTCATTTTTCGCCAAATTGACATTTTCCTAATTTTAAAGCCATATTTTCATTATCGAGTTTGGCTAAAGTCTTCTCCACTAGGGCAATGTGTTCAATTTTGGTACCTTTTGAAATTACTAAATTATCATCAATGAATGCGTGCGCACACAGAAATGTCAAAAGAATGGCATCCATTACCCGTTGGAATTCCGCCCGCATAGTTGTCAACCCATAGAGTCCCGTCTTGAAACAATATGAACCGGTGGAGCGTCCTCCCACCAAAGTAAAGTTGCAATGTTTGCTCGTAGTTTCACTTAGCGGTAACTGCCCGTATGCGTATGTGAGGTCCATTGTTGAGAAACAAACATCCCCTTGCTTAAGTTCGCTTATTGTTTGGCCCACAATATCCATTAGCTCTTCAATATTAGGCATTTGATATTTGTTTTTATGGACTTGCTTTTTTAGTTCTCTTGATTCTAGTGCAAGTTTTACGGAACCATCCTTTTTCACCGTAATGACAATAGGGGAGACAAAATATTTATGAGAACAATCCTCCAATTTTTGTATATGACCCTGTTCCAAGAGTTTCTCGATTTCTTTATCTACCTTCTCTTGCAACGTTAAAGGCACTCGTCTGCACTTTTGCTGGATCGGAATCAAATTCTTGAAAAATTCTGCCTGCACTTTATATTTACGAATGAGCCCTACCCTGTGAAAAAGGTGGTTAAATTGCTTACTGAAATGTCTTTGCCAATCATCCAAATCCTCATCCATTTCCATAATATCACCTTTCTTCTGGATATTATGCACCCCCTGCTCCGCTGGCGTCTGGACCAACATCAATCCCAGCTCTGGCGTCAAATCCCGGCCGATAATAGATGGCCTGCAGCCTCCGATAACATTGATGGCTGCGTTTGTTTTCCATCCATTGGATTCGAGTGTAACTACCATCTTGCCCAGAAAACTTCAGCGGGTTGTTCCCGTAGTCCCGAAACTGATCATCTTTTGGATCCAACTGCTGCAGACGCACATTGCATGTTCCCGAGGTACTTTTCAATTCCCTTATAGTAAATATAGAAATTGGCAATCCGCTGTCGATCCAGGCCTGAGTTGCGTGATCGTTGATTCGTAACGCCAGTTTTGCCCCCGCAATTTTCAATTCTTCCTCTTGTCTTCGCCAGACCGACATAACAACATAATCTGTTGAACTTTCCGAGTCCCATCCTTGTGTTGGTGCGTTCGAATCGGTTACCCATCCGACGGAGCCTCCGTAATTAGACACACTCTTCTCCGGAACGTTTTGAAGGAGCCCTCCGTCGGTGTCGTCCTCATGTATCATCCCCACGCGTCCCCTATTGGCCGTTGTATGTCCTCGACACGTGCGCTTACAATGACCGGTCTTCCGACAAAAATTACAGGTGGCATTCCGCGCTGGACACTTTGGAATATGCTCTGGAGAAAAACCACTTTGATCGCAGTTAAAGAAATCCGCTCCACCGCCGCCCCTGTTGTTTCCTCTACCGAATCTGCGTCCGCCCCGTTGGAATGGTCGACGGTAGCTACCTCAAATGGCGCTTATTGGCTCTGTTTTTATCTACAATGCCCCCGCTGGTGCCGCCCCAAGACCGCCACCAGAAACTTTATACGTTTTGGGGTATTTGTCCCCCGCCCGTATGACAAAGCAATTCGGTAGACCTCATCTGGGGTCTTAGTTGATTGACAGAGTTCCGTTTGTGCTTCTTTATTAGATATATTTACTATAAATACGTCACGCAATATGCGTCCAGAGCCCTCAACGCACACCTAGCAGCTAACCCACTCAATACTGAGTGGAATGTTTCCCGCGCCTCCCCTTTACGTTGTTTCCGAAACTTTCATTCCTCTCCTTCGTGAATAAATTTTCGAATTCATTCAAAACTCTAGGACATCGCGTAACCGCCAGATCCAAATGGGGTTTGCGATTATAAAGCTTGTCCTGTCCGCGTTCCCCTTTAACAAATATACAGGTTAGAAATTGAAGTTTGTTCCGCCTCCAGACGGTTTTTTCCAATATCATCCTCCGGTAGATCCGCAATTTGCGTTGCGTTCAACGTCCGATTGAAATAGAATGCCGTCGGATTGAATGAATGTTTCGCTATTACTCCCCATGTAAAACGAGTAATCCAGTGCTCCCACAGCATTGGTGCTTCCGTGCATTTACTAGGCCAAAACGCCGTAATTCCGAATGGATTTTTTCCCGTCCCTGCGCCGTATCCTGCTTGCTGTGCCATGTGAAAACGGTGAATTCGATACGGTAAATTTCCAACGTTAATCAACAACTGAATTCATAACTCAATAATGCTTCAACTGTTTCAGATGTCAAGTGTACGCGACCACCACTGGCAGGTACTAATCAAAACGGCATCAGGGACTTGGCCAGCACCAATGGCGCCAGAATGAACTCAATATATATAAACTGACAGAACTCATTGAACTGTATATATTGCCAAAATTTAAAAGTTCATTACTTTCGTTATATTATTTGTGTGAGACAGAAGTAACAAATATCAGGCTGTTTCCAATGCATTTTTAATGCGAGACGGCCAAACTTCTTGTTACTACGTTTGAGTAATCAAAGGTTTAGGTCATTTGTGTTCGGGTACAAACACAACCAAAAAATTTTGAGAAATTAAAATTAAAATGAAAATTGAAAATCAAAATTTTTGGTTTATGGAAAAATGCTAGTCATACAATGTCCAGATATGAAAAAATACTAATCATAGACCTTTCATGCTATTTTCTGTACGTATGGAATTGTATGGAAAGTGCATGATTTGCATTTTTCCATATATGGAAATTGTATGACTGGTATTTTTGGTCATCCCGGGTGTTTCAAATATTTGCCTCATCTGAGCACCGAGCGAAACAACAGCCCTTGATAACCTTTCCAAAAGGTTTATTGATATTTCACTTAACTTTTTTTTCTTATTCTATTTAATAACTTCATCATTTAGAATATTGCTAAAGTTTTACCGTCAGTGTTACACTGCGCATCGGAATATTTGGAATTACACCAAAATTTAAAGCTAACTCGCAAATTTTGGCAACGTTGCGGCAAAGTAGCTACTTACTGAATTATCAAAACATTTTACTTGTAATGCCAAACTATTTAAACAAGCACTAAAATTGTTTTCATCCCAAAATATGCAACAATTAAAAGCTTATTAGTTCAAAAAACTTGAATGAAATCCGGAAAAGGCTAATTGCAACCGCATTGCACTTTGTGGAGTGCAACCGCATTGGAGTTCCATGAATAAAAATTGATTGTAATTGAATTTCATTTTCAGTGTCTACAAAAAAAGAAAAAAAGACAATTATAATTGCTGTTTTTTCCACTTTATTGAGATGCAAACTTCAACGCACATCGATGAAGTCTTTTTCTTTGCTTCAAACTAAGGTTGGTTACTTGTAGCTCAATCCAAGAAGTAGCCAAGCCTGATTCAAGGCCTCAAATGGTTAGCGTATCATAATAGATACCTACAATTATAAAGAAGTCACTGAGCTAACTATAGCTGCAGTAGTTTTTTTCAGTTGCCCAGCTCTTTAATTCCCCCCTCCCCCCTTATTACATTTTTTTGGAGAAAAAAAATATTCTGCTCGCATTGTCCGATTGTTACAAAAATTGGCTTGCCGACTGATCATGTCATGACAAACACAAGTCCTGCCTCTATAAATGCACGTGAGTCAACTGGCAAACTGAATTATTTAGAGTTGATAGACAACTTTGCGGTTTGCGACGGAAAACTGTACAGCGAAATGGGGAGCTTCATTGCTCGCAGGGTCACACAAAGCTACTTAAGCCTTGAATCTTAACCTCTGTTCTGATCCACAAACTAGAGATCGAAACCACTATCGAGCGTTCAAATTTATGTAGCCGATTTCGAGACAAACCTCCAATCTTGCCCGAAGCCACGTTTCAGCAACAAGATCTCGGGCGACGACCTTTCGCTATTACCTAGTCACTTTTCCTTGGTGTTCACTCTTGGTATAGCCTTCTTCTTGAGGACTTTAGAAGAGATATCTGGTACTTTGGTAGAGCGCTGAAACTTTTAGCTAGCCGGGATGGCATTTCCACACTCTTGTAAGCTTCAAACAGCGCCGCTAGCCCGCATTAGACTGCTGATAATTTTTGCACTCGTTAATGCAAATTAGGATGTTAAAGACTACTCTAGATATTAAGACTAGATATTGTTTATGATTACAACTTCTCCCTTATAATCTGTATCCAAAACTTAAAAAAATTGAAATCTTCCCTAAAATCCTTTTTGGTTCTTGATTGTATCAACAAGTTAGCTCTTTTTGGATTTGATACTAGCTTTTGTCGTCAAATTGATCGTTGGTTTACTTATGAATAATCAATTGCGAGTAATCAATTGCGAAAAAATTATTTGAAGCGAGGTTAGTTGGCTTAGGTTGGTGACCTTTATCTCATCCCTGTGTGGATAAATTTTGGTTAAGGATTCACACGAAGTGACAGAAAAAAGTCGCAAAAAAATAAGTTTTGTTCAATTGCAAAAATGAAAAAGGATAATAATCATAATAAGAATGAAACAGTATCCAGTGAAAAAGTCGAATGATTTCAGTGACTTTTAGTGGTCTGCACGGATAAGTCCAGTCTGTTCAATTGAATGTCTAACCTCTCGGGTAGTATGAAGGGGGTTGAATTCCGTGCTCGGCTTGAAATTTCTAGAAAAAAAATTATTTTAGTTATCTGTTTGTTTTGAGATTACAGATGAATTCTTTGTCCCAAAATGTCATCCAAACTCTCAAAATAACTCACCAAAAAGGTTTCCATTTGGCTTGAATCAAATAATTTGAGCTAGAAATTCTCCTTATCCGATTATTTGCTAATAACATAATATTTGATGCTAATGCAGCTATTTTGCTGTAAAAACCAACATACTATGGGTGGAACTATAGATCAAGGTAACGTCAACACAAATTACGACATCTGGCATTTGAATAAAGAAAAATTACTGTTTTTAAAATTTTCAAAAACTTGTATGGGCAGTTTCGGACGAACGCTTCAATGTAAGTCCTAAGAATTGTCAATATAAACTCACCAAAAGTGTATTCGTTCGGTATGGATCAAATAATTTGACACTAAGTTAGAGCTATTCTTTATGCGATTATATGCTAATAAAATAATGATTGATGTTACGGTAGTTATTTTGTTTTGTGAATCAACATTCGATGGGTGGTACTAAAGATCAAGGTAACGTCAGCACGACAAATTGCGACATCTGGATCGGATAAGCAAATGGTTTAGATTGGAGCAATTGGTTTTTTTTTTGAGCTGAACATAGGCCAGAAAAATTAACAAAAAAAACCAATTAGCGGTTAACTGCACGTTTGTGTCAAAAATTTCTCGAAACATGCTGAAATAAGCCAATGAGCGGTTAAATGCACGTTTGTTTCAAAAAACCCTCAAAATATGTTAAAATGGCGCCAAAAGCTCTCTCAAAAAGTAAAAGACTGAAAATGGGTGTCGTTTCCACAATCGCATCAAAGGGGAACAAAACGGGAAGTGCGGGGATCAAATCTAATTAAATCCACTCCTTTGGTTCAAACCCTTGAGTTGTTTGACAAACTAGCCGAAGACTTTAAGAGGTCAAACAATTTTAAATCGTTGCATATACAAAACAGTCCCATACAAAACAGTCGCATACGAAAGAGCCCGAAACATCAAAAAAAGTCCTAAAAACAGTCCCATACAAAACAGTCCAAAGCCATTTGAATTATTTGACCTTGATCTTTTGGCGCCGATAGAATCGTGTCGTTGTTAAGGCCATAGACTCAAATTCTAGATACCAAAGAGTTAAACCACCTGGGGCACAAAAAACTGAAGTTTTGGTAATAATGATAATGGGCATAACTAGGGTACAGCAAAGGGTTCAACCTGAGCGAGTTGGGCGAGGGCAAAGGAAAATAAACACTTTGTATGTATACTTAATTTTGCCGGTTTCCATCAATTCTAGCCCAACTATGAAAAGTCGAGGAAAATAGTTGAATTGGAAACTTTTTTATTGCTTGGCAAAGTAGAATAAGTTTTAAAATTGAAAACAAAAAAATTTTTAAGTACAACTTTTCAAAAACCCAATGATATCCTTGGATTGACACAATCATATCATTATGATTAGGTTTATGTCAAGTTTTTGGTATTTAACCTTTTTAAATCTGGTTGATTTTTGTCCCATGCACATTTTTTTAAGAGAATTTCTGAATTTTTTGTTCGTCCTGGAACTTCTTGTTGAGTTTTGGAACTGAGGGGTGCTTACTGTTGACTAGTTTCCCGAAATTGCTGTTGCAACCTTCTACGCCGGGAAAGTCATTTTTTACTCTTTAATGGCAACTCCATTGCTTCATTTAAATCTGGACTTCTGTCGTCCTTGAGAAGTCAGCCAACCACTATAGGCATCCTCAAAAAAGGAAAGTCAGTTGACTTTTTTCAGGTGCCTTACGTCCTCTACGGGAAGAAACGCGAAAAACTGTTGCGAGAAGCATTCGAACAAGCTCGCGAAAAGCATGATCGTTGTTTTAATTGTGAACTTTGCCTGACCACTGAACATGTAGCCAGATGCTTTGAATCAAATGAAAAGAAAAACTAACTTGAGCGCTTTGATGGGTAGATATTATTGAGTTTTGCACAGCTAATTCAAAATAATTGTAATACGTTTTGGGGACTCAACTTTTAGAATAATGAGGAGGCGACAAAAAGTAACTACATATTGTCATTCGGATTAGCCGGAATCACAATGTTTTTATTCAAAGAGAAAATTTTTGGAACAATTGTCAATTTAATCAATGGGACTGTTCAATCAAAATTGCACCATGAGGATTTTTTTATTGCGTCATCATTGTGGATAGTTCCAAACTAAGGTTGAGAAATTGTACCAATTCCAGTTTTTCTGAGAGTTCAAACCTTCGCGTTGAATTATGCAGCTATTGTCATTCAGCAAAAAAAGTAGTGTTTTGGTTCTCACTACACTTTGTCATCCGGATTAATTGGAATCAGAATGTTTTTAATCCGAGAGAAGTTTTCTGATCAGTTTCTGGAACAATTATCACTTCGATCATGGGACTGTTTTTGGACTATTTTCGGGAATTTTTTTGGGACTGTTTTGTACTGGACTGTTTCGTACAGGCACGTTTAATTCAGTATATAATCGTCAATAAAGCTTTTCACGAAGTGGGAGGGGACTACGTGCAAGGATTATTTTTTTTCCTCAATTTTGTCTACTCCAAGAAAACTCGTGTTAGATAAACTTAGGTTTCGAGTTAAAACCATATCTGATGTGATTTGGTTTCCCAAATAATTTCAAAAACACAATCTGATTATCGAAAAAAATGGTTCAAATTTTTCCGCAACTTTCAGTTAATTGACTACAATTAAATTTGCAAATAACACCATAGGAGAAAGTTCTCTCAATGAAATTTCTACACAGGTAAGATTTACAATTAGATTCTTCATTAGTTGACGAATTTTAAAATTTGAATCGGTAGATTTTTCTAGTTTAATTGCTGTTTTCCGAAACTTTTACTAGAAAAAGTTAAAAAAATTAAAAAGTGCTTTCATTTTTTTAAAAATTTTGCCCGCAATTATTATTTATTTATTTTAAAAATTTTAACTGTTCCATTTTTCAATTTTCAAAGTGGGTACCTCTTTGATCGAAGTCATTAAAATCCTGTTAACATTATTGAAGTCTTGAGCTCAGTTGTAAAATTTTTTTTTGAGTTTGATTCTTTTTCGTGAAGTTATTGGGGTTCAGAAGTGCCAATTTTCATTTTTATGACCATCCATGCGCAAGAGTTTTTTTTAGCAGCTGTGACTTATATCGTCCAAAAAATTGTTCCAAATTGACTTGCAAGAAGCAATATGAACTTAAGAATAATTTGGTTGACTGTAAGTGCACTTTATAGATTTAGTGGTATGAAGGTTTTCAATGTATACTAGCGTGTACCGCACCTCCGGTGCTTCGATTTTTGAACAACTCAAAAAAACTAATCTTTGAGTGTACTTTGACAGCACCCAAATACAGGGTTTGTAATTAAAAATTTTGCGAAGTTTTTTGTTCAAGTTTCTTATACAAATTTTGAAGAAACAGAAAATTTTGTGAAGTTTTATAGAAATTCTTCGAAAAATTTAAAATGAACTAAGAAACGTCACATCTGGGAAGCTGAAAGCTATTGAGCAGTCGCATTTGCACGCAAAATTTGCAACTTCTGAGAGTAACTTCGAATTTTGTAAAATTTTTCATTCGATTTTTTAATTCAAATTTTGAAAAAAAAACCATAAGAATTTGTGACCTTTTTTATATCTAAATAAATAATGTATTAGGAAACGTCACATCTGGGAAACTGAAAGCAATTGTCGCATTTGGACGCAAGATTTGCAACTCCTGAGAGTAGTTTTACAGTACGCAAACACAACTAAACTTCACCTTAAGTTTTGTAAAAGAGGAATTTTTTTTTTCGAAAACCAGAAAATATTCACATCTCAAAAACTACCAGAATTTGAGCAATCTTTTTTGATGACAAAATTCGCAATCTCTCAAAGTACACAACTACAGGGTTCGGTATTTCACTTAAACAATTTTGTAATTTGTTATTTTGTAATTTGAGTTTTCTGAAAATTTCCATAAATTCACAAAAATCCTCGTATCTCCTAAAAAAAATGAGTTGGGCATTCTTAATTGGCAACCCCTTACTCTGACAACCCCCCCCCCCCCCCCCCCCCCCCAACTACAGGCTAGAATTTCAAAATTCAAAAAAAAAAATTAATTTTAATGAAATTTTTTTTGAAAAAATTACAAAATCGTCATATCTTAAAAACTGCAAGATTTTGAGAATTCCTATTTGGAGGCAAGATTCGCAACCCCCTGAGAGTACTCTCACAAATTCCAAAAACAGGATTGAGATCTTCAAATTTTTTGAAATTTTTAACATTTAAGTTTTTTTGAAAATTTCGGAGAAAATCATAAAAAACGTCATATCTCAAAAAGTACAAAGACTTGAGCAATCATATTTGGCGAAAAAATTCGCAACTTCTGAGAGAACCTTGGCAGAGCCTCAATACATAGATGATAATTTCAGTTTTGCAAATTTTTTTATAGCTAAGTTTTCGGAAAAAAATTTTGAAAAAATCTTAAAAAACGTCATATCTCGAAAACTACCAGGATTTGAGCAGTCATATTTGGCGGCGAATTTTTACAACTCCTGAGAGTACAACGACAGAGCCTCACTACAGAGATGGTAATTTCAAGTTTTGTGAAATTTTTTGTATCTAAGTTTTCTGAAAAAATTTGAAAAAATTCAAAAACAATTTGATATTTCGAAAACTACAAGGATGTGAGCAGCCATAATCAAAGGTAAGATTCGCAACCCCTGAGAGTACCCTTTCAAGATCCAACAACAGGATTGAGATCTTCAACTTATTAGAATTTTTCAAAAAATTTAAATTTTTGAAAGTTTTCAAAAACGTCATAGCTCGAAAACTACAAAGATTTGAGAAGTGAGGTTTGGAGACAAGATTCGCAACCCCTCAGAGTACCCTGGGGGTTGCGAAACAAGCAAAAATAAAACGTTGAAAGAGCTTAAACATGGCGAGATAGCGAAGACCGCATTCAAATAAATGATAGATAGATATTAGATAAAACATAGATAAAGATGAAAAATAAAAAAATAGGCGACGGGTAGACAGATAGACTTAGTTTGACCTCGAAAAAAATACTGACAAATAAATGACATTGTTGAAAACTAATTGAAATTTTTCTTAAGCATTGCAATATATGCTATAGCTTAAACATGAAAAAAATCTTTCGTTAAACATGCAAAATTTTTATGCTTAAACATGGGAGGTATATATATTCAATTTTGGGAACCGTGTTCAATTCTTTCGACATTTCTTTCAAGATGTCATCAATTTGTAGAATGTTACAGCTATCCATTGAAACATTTGGGTCTTAAAAATCCATGGAAAAATTTTCATACCCAAAAAACATTTCAAGACCTAAATTTTCTATTAAAAACATTTAAGCCCTTGCCCTGATACGGGCAGTCTTGTTTTGCATCTCACTTTTTTAATTTATAACCGTCCCCAATTAAAAATGCCAAGTGAAAACCCAGATTTAAAAAAAATTTCTCGATAGCCTTACCAGAAACTAAAAAAGCATTTTGATTTTTAATCTTTCAAGTTGCCTTTCAAGAGTCCTTTTTGCACAATAGATAGTCTGGAGTATTCCATTTTTGATCCTTGCGAGGCCCTGAAAATTTATTTTTGCTTATGATGATCCAGATTTTTATTGGTATGATAGGTTAATTGAGTTTGTACGACACATTTGTCAAATGCTTGATTATGCATGTAGAAAACTAAACCAAAAGCAAATATCTCCCAAAAAAAACAAATAAATTGCTGGCCAGTTTGTGACAATTAAATAGCGATATATATCGTGCTTTTAACGCGTAAACGGCGATTGAAGCAGGCTCTAGATTTGTTACACTTTGAATTTAGGCCTGCTTTTTGTCCTCTTCAACTTCAATAGAAACTAAATACATCACTTTGTATCCTTAAATTTAATTTTAAAAGCTTCAACCTAATGCGAAGTTTCTTGATCCTATCTTCCTTTAGTACATTTTTCCCGCTCAACTTGATACTCATTTATAATAATTGGGCTCCAAATATGTGCCAGTTGGTTCGTTTCTGCTTTCAGTTAAATTGTCTACCGAAAGATCTGCGCTCTCAATGGATTGCTAAAATGTTCCAAAAAGTAAGTGGATTCCTGTAACCTGTAACGTAAAATTTGTCGGCAAATTTATTTTGTTGCGCATTCCGTAACAATCAAATATTGCTATTTGTTCTGGATTCAGCAACTGCAAGTAGTTTCCGCAAAATGTAAGTGGAATCCGCAATTTTAAGTGAATCCGCAAACAAAATGCGGATTCCACTTACCATTTGCGGATTCCGCTTGTAGTTGCAGATTCCGGAACAGCTGAATGTAACTATACATATGTCTTATTATTCGCTTGTGGGTTCCATAAACTGTTCCAAATTTGCCTATTTTGGAGCAATTTTGAGCGGTACAATATTTTAAGTGTTTGTTTCTGGAATCAAAAACAGCAAAGAAAATCAAAGAAAAGTACCAATATTGCGGATTTCGCGACAAATCTGATTTTGGCCTGTTGCGGAATCCGTTTACAATGCACAGAATGCACAGTTTGGCCTCGTAATTTTTCGAATCATGTAATAAACTATTGTTTTTGATCACAATTCTTGTTGATCGATGGAATAATTCGGAAAACTTTACAGGAAGCAAATATTTTAGTCTCCCTGTTTTTAAGCCAATAAATAATTTTTAGCCCAATCCGATTATTCAATAACTTTTAGTTCAAAGCTATCTGATTTCCTTGAGGTTCTTTTTGTTGTGTTTTTCATTCGTTAAATAAGTATCCTATGATTTCTTGGGTTTGTTTTTGCCAAAACTATGGGCCATCTTTGGCTGATTCAATATGATTGATTAATATTTGAAAAGATAAAAGTTTATAACGAGAAAAAAAAACACGAGCAAAAATAATCCATAAATATTTTCAAATGCCAGACCAACTAAATCAACCCCGAAAAATGAGTGAAAATAATTCATAAAGTAGAAGCTTAAGCAAAACTCAGGACGAAGGACAGGTAAACACAAAAAGCTATAGAATCTCCAAAACCTGTGTAAGAGAAAATATTTTCACTTGACAGTCAAGAAATGGGTGAAGTTTCTACTATATGAAGCCCAAAATCTTTGCTTAAAAACAAGTTTCAAACAAAAGACTCAAATTTTTGGAGATTTAACTTTCTTGGCTGTGTAATAGGCTTCTTGTGATATATATTCCTCGTCAATTAACAATGTGGTTTCGGCATTTTTCTTGATGAATTGAAAAAACAAAAATGATTCATTTATGGGGTATAATTTTAGTTGAGAAATTCTGATGAAATTCTAAGCAACTTTGTTCTCTTCACTTTTTGTCTAATCTTGACTCAAACTGAGAAAAACGCGTTTGAAAAGTAAAGTTTTGTTCGTTTTGTCCGGATAATTTAAATCAGCACTGTATTAGTAGAGCTATGCTCCGATCATTCAGGTCATCTCAAAATGAAAATATTTCCGAGCCGGCTCAAATCTTCGCTCACGCTACGCTTTGAAAGAAAACATTTAGGAATCCTGCTTAAACTATCGCCAAAACCGTCACAAAATAAAACCCATATTAATTCATGAGAAATAGTCAAAGGTGATCATCTTTTTGTTTTTGAGCTCAGAGCACCCGAAGTTTTCAGAAAAAAATCCGTAAATTGCCAATAAAAAAATCAAAACTTGTCTAGAGGAAAAATCTTCGCGACCATAAATACTCCACCACTTTTTGAAAAATTTAGAACAAAAGAGTGCAGTAATTTTTTGAAACGTCGTCGAATTCAAGATTGAAACATAATCAGATACGGTGAGAAAAAATGAGCAGCGAAAAAAAATGGGGCGTGATAAGTTATTCAAATTAGCAGATAAATTGTTCAGAAACGTTCAAATCTCATCTTTTGTTCAATTTTTACAATTTGAACGCGCTTTTTTATCGAGTCGGTCGCATAGGTTCTTCTTTGATCGCATAGGTCAAAAATCATCACCAGGCTAAGTTTTGCCATGCAGACATGTTTAAACTTTTTCGAAGCAATCAGAAGAAAACGAAACAAAAATTTAAACATGTGTTTTGACATGTTTAAACTTTTTCGAAGCAAACAGAAGAAAACGAAACTAAAAAAAAGAAGACGGAAAAGAGCGTCTTTGTTGGGGAATCCGCTTACAATTAACAAAAATACACAGTTTGGCTTCGTAATGACGGTATTTAGCGTTTGCGTCTGAGATACCCATAACAAAATGTAATATCGGGCTCGAAGTAAGTTGGAGTGAAAAACCATCTGATATAATTTGAATTCAATCGAAAAAAAACCTTTAGAAATGATAAAGATGAAACTACGTACTATTAGTAGTCAACCACAACGCTCAAATTTTTGGTCGGTCGTTTCATGGCATGCTCATATCGACGACTACTGTCGAAATATTGTTCACTCTTGGTCAATTTGGCGAAATCTTTCAAGTTTTAAGTTTTGTTTGTCGACAATGTTGAGCAAGGATAGCCGGTTGAAGTGTAAATTCCGACCATAGCCATAAAAAAACTACAAAAACTTGCGTTTCAGGTTTTTCTTAAAATTAGTGTTGTGTTTGTGCGTTAATGTGCAAAACTTTGTGAAATTGCCAAAATTGCGAGACAACAGTTGCCTTCAAAAGTTGAAAAACGATCAAAAAGTTAGAAAAACACTTAAAAATGGAAAATCAAGCTTCTAAAACCACTTTTCCTTTTGATAAATTCAAATTTTTCTAATCTGAATGACCAATTTTTAATTAACTAATGTTACTCGATCGATTTACTTGCTCGCTTGTTTCATGGTGAAAAAAAAATTAAATATGATGTATCAATCATAATTCCGATGATTATTTGTTTTGGCTGATTTTGCGTGAAACACAAAAAATACAACACAACCGAAACCGAAGTTCCTCTCCTTTTTCAATCGTCGGAACCCAAGAAATTATTTTTGTTATAGTGCAATTGATAATTAGCCGTAATGTCTATAGTTTATTTGTGCTTATTCAAAAAGCAATTGCGCAAAATTGAAAAAGCATCAATTATACTAGCCTAAATTTGCCTTTTACCGTCAACAAATTGTAACGCTGCCTGATGTCTCTGTTTACTGCTTTTTCGGTTGGCTCAGTTTTGTGGCAACACTCTATTAATAGTTTTGATTTTTTTAATGGCTTCTTGCACAGCAAGCAAACCCTGTTCTTAGTTTCGTTTTAAGAGAAAGCAGAAGTTCACATTCCATTATGAAATAGTGAAATTAATATATAAAAATAATTGATTCGTATTCTAATTATTTTATTTTTCTCGCTCCAATTTTAATTATCTAGTTAACCACTTCAATCAAAAGTGCATCGCGGGGAATTGTTTACATTGCAACATCGAGAAATGGTACTAAGTTAGTAGTATCTGAGAATTAAGATCATTGTGTTGAATTAAGATCTTTCTGATTAAATCTTTGTGCTCTTTTTCTTCCCCCCCCCCCCCCCCCACCTCACATAAGCATCAATTTTATGGTGTAGCGAATGGTTTTAAAAGGTTGAGTATGAAGACCAAATATGTTTCTCATGGCCTAACTAGTCCGTGTGCCAAAAATTACAACAATCCGACAATGTGAACAAAATGTGAACAGGAAAGTTACTCTAAAAAACTTGCTGGTGGGGGAGAGTAGGAGGAAAAGAGACGAATTATACAATTATGGCTGCAATGCAAACACAAATGCAACAACAACAGGACAGGGCCATCAGAATATAGGTGCTCATTAGAGTCCAAAATGAGAAGAGGAAGAGAAGTCTGTCACAGTAGCGCTCGGAGCTTTCTGTGTATGACACATCGCCATATGTTCGGAACACCCACACGCTACCTGAAACAAAAAGGCTAATTTACAATTGGCATCAAGCCTTGAAAAACCTTGAAAACACCTTAATTTGAAAATAGTTTAATGATTATAACCGTATATCGAAAATGTTTTTTGATTATCACTGCCAATCCAACAAGAATGCTCGTATCAGGGCGAAGCACTGAATGTTCCGACTGCCTTTGAATTAATTCGAATTAATCCGAAAATTGTCCGAAGAAAAAAAAACCCGAGCACCATTATTCCGTTAGTTTCGTTAGGAAAGTCGGAACAAAAAAACCACTGCGAGCACAAATATTCCGTTACTTTCGTTACGAAAGTCAGAACAATAAAATTATTGGAGATTGTAACTTAAATAGACGGTTTTTGTATTTCTGATGAGAAATATTTACTTTCTAACCAGTTTTTATCAAGAAATGCTTTATAAGTTGTTTTAACAAATTATGCTTTCCTTTGAAAGCTATTTTCCAATCTGGTTTCTGGCTGTGCTGTTTCTAGCCACAAATTCAACATTTTAGTGACGCGAACCACCCTTGTCATGTTTTCAAACAATCGCGTTAGCAATAAACAACAATATCAGGATAAATTTAATGGTCGGAGTGATTTAATGGAATTTAAAAGTTGCAATAATCAAAAATAAAGCCAGTTGCAATTAGAAGTCTCTAAAAAATTTATTTCTAATATTAGATTAGAAAAAGGGGTAGTATTGTTAAGGAAAAATTAAAAGAGTTCTGTATAGTTTGGATTTTTTGTTAGGCACGGGTAACCGCACACAGTTTTTTGTTGGGCGCAGGTAATCATGAAGAATTGTTTCAAAGAATCTCAAAAAAATGCACCACTACTAAAGAAACGGCTAAAAACTTTAGAGACCGTATGACGGTAAATGATCTTGTGAGCTGAAGTTTTATCAAAGTTTTGAACCTTTATACTTGACAATTTTTTATTCAAAATTTCGAGTAAAGTAACAGATCACAATTTTTGCGGTATTTTTATTAGTAAGAACAAATTTGGCGATTATTTCGAAGCATAAATTGACTTCCTGAGTTCAAAAATCAATTGACCCTGTACAAAAATCAATTGAGACTAATTGAAACGCAATTGGAACACTGAGAATTTTGACCTGGTGCGAGCCAATTAGTTTAAAAATTTTAGGCAGTGTGAAAACTGCCAATAATGAAGAAAATGTGGGTGATGTTTTGGAACCAAATAAAAACAAATTTTCAAAGTGTTTATTATGTACGTTGATTTGTATCACTATAAAATATTATAACAAACCAATTATGATCCATTACTAACACTTACTCTAAACTGTAAAGCTGAAAATGTTCATAGTTTCAGCCAGAGAAATTATAATGCAGATAAGAAGTCAGTTGCTTATTTCTCTCCTCTAACCTCGTAAGAGTACCAGTATACACTAGATCTACTAGAAAATGTCAGAGTAAAATTAGGATTGTTATTAGACTGAAAAGTTGCACGAATGTATCCGACCGAAAAAAAGACAGCGTGACGAACAGACTGTGTATCTTATCCGAAATTACTCTGTGGGACCTAATCTCAGTTTGCAGTTTTCAAATTACGCGTGGCAAGGCCGAGAGTTATACCGCTCCAGACAATTTTTTCATAATTTTGTTTGAAAGGTGATATGAAAAAAGTGTGTGCAAAACTTTTAAACCAAAAACGACCTCAGACACTTATAAAGAAAGTCTATGGTTGTGTTTTTCTTGGACCGAATTTTAAAGCGTAGTTCATTTTTCAGTAAATGAAGTTTTCTGCTATGATAGTTTTCAGTAGCGGGTAAAACTCACATGCGTGTTGACAAACGCCTTATCAAGAATCCAACAGCCTCACTACCCAAAGGTTCCGATCTTTGTATTACTTAACAGAATTCACTTTAGCAGGCTAAACCTACAATCATTGTCAAAATGAGGGTTTTGAAAGTGTTTTTGCAGTGCTCTGAAAATCATTTCAGTCGGCTGAATATATTACTATAGGTTTCCAATTAAGTCAACTTTAAAAATCGATCACCGTTGCAAAAATCTTTTTTGAAAAAACGATCACCGTTGGCAAAATCTTATATTTGCGCCGAATTCTTTTGATATAAATTATGTTAACTTTGCTCCTCCATTCACTCTCAAATGAGTGAAGAAACGATAATGATGGCTTCTTACTAATTTTTACTTTCAGCTCTTTGCTGATCAAATGTGGTTCAAATCAAAGTGTTTTTATTGGTAATAGGAAAACCAAATTGTGAAATTTAAAAAAAAGAAGATTTTTTTTAGTTTCAAGAAATCTTGCTTGAATGTGTTCGGCGAGTGTCAAATTACCGATGGCCTATGGAGAAGGTAAGAAGAGAAAACTTCCGATTTTTCTTTTTAAACCACTTAAGCAGTTTTTTGGCTGTTTCAAGTTTCAACTGTTTCAAAAATTCTGAAAAAGGCCGAATTTAGTTTTAAAAAAGAAAAAAAACTTTGAAGAAAATTGGAGAAAAAAGTTTTTGTTTTAATTTGTTTAATGGAATTTTCAGGTTATTTTCATGAAGCTGTTATTTTCGTGTTTTGTTTAATTTTTGATGAAATGTTCGCCTGACTTAAATTGGCCAGTAAGTTATTTTGATTTCCCGCATCCAAGTTTAGACGTAAGTAATTGATTATGTCGAAGTATCATGTTGATTTTTTTACAATTATAATTGATTATAATTACCAAAATTAGATATTTCAAGGATTTATAATTGAATACAATCGTGATATTTTCCAAGAGATTATAATTGATTAAAATTTATACAAAAAATCTTCAAGTCAATTATAATCGATTATAAACCTCTAAAGTATCTTTCAATTATATTCAGGGGTTATTTTTCTTCCAAAAACAAAAACTCTAAAAGCGAGATTTCTTGTCACACTTTAGTTCATCTGAACATAAAGCCTTACCACGAAACAAGGTTTTACCACGAAAAGTTTTATAGAGATCCTTTAAAATTAGTTGAAAGGTTCCCGCAGTTGGTGAAAAATATCTCTTCTAAAAAACCATAAAATGAAAGCATTGTGCTGATATACTGGTGGTTGAAAAGCTTAAAATGACGATCATGAAACAACTCCGACGGAGAAATGAAAAAACAAAACTGTTATCTAATTGAATTGATCTGAATTTATTTAAAACAGTTTTTCTCATTTTTTTTTCATAAATCAAAGTCTACAAAAAGCATAAAAGATAAACAATTCAGTGGCAGCGTCCAAAACAAAATGGGCAAGTGAAAAGGTTTATAACCGGTTATAATCGATTATAACGGATTTTTTGTGAACAGCTTAGGAATTAGAACTTGGGATAAAAATAATCGATTACAATTCATTATAATTGCATAGAAAAAAAATTGGCCCATATAAATTCATTATAAATAATTTGAAATCCATTATAATAGATTATATAATAAGTAGAAAATCACCTGAAAATGATTTTTCTCCTTTTTATTTGTTTCGCGTCGTGCCAATTTCTGCAAAAACTTCTGCATTTATCAAATGAGCAATGCGGAAATTTTGCAAACCGAGCAAACCGCCTACAGCGTTTCTAAATTTTCTCAAATTGCAAAACGTTTCCGTTAACATCTCCCCACTAACGTTTGCCCTTTTGCTCCCTTACACATCCCCCCCCTCAGTTGAAACCCCCTAAACCACCCCGGCAAAAACCAACCCGCTCATCTAACCTAGTTTGGTCTGTGTTATGCTGGGGGAGTTTAGTTCAGGTGGGGTGGGAGGGGGTTTGGTTGAGGTGGCGGAGATAGAGGGGGGGGGGTTGGTTGAAGTGGGGGGTGGGGGTTGGTTAATTCCAAGTAACAGTAACATTAACAAAAACCAAAGTTGCACAGAAAAAAGTTGGTTGAAACCGAACTAGAAATAACCAATATTAATTTAAAACGAAGAATACATTTTAAGTGCGCTAAAATTCGCATCTCCTCGATGAAGTAAGAAAAATGGTGTTTGATTGTTTTTGTCTATAAAAGTGAAAAATAATCGATTATAATTGAATTTCAATGGATTTTAATGCTTTAATAAAGAATAGCTTTATAACCTATTTCAAAAAGATTATAATCGAATATTCTTCACTTTTACAGACACTGACAAACAAATTTGAATTTTAATCGACTTTTATCCATAGAACTCCAGAGTAGAAAGACTCATTTCTTGAATTTTTATAAATATATCTCAAATACTTCAAAACAAAGTAAAAATTCAATTCTGGCCATTTTATACATTTCGTCATCACTGTTCGAAGAATCGGAAAATTAATTTCGGTTCATTCTATACATTTTTTCTTCAATACTGAAAAAAAAATTTAAAAATTAATAAAAAACTAGTTTGCTGTGGTTGCTGTGACTGCTACACAACAGGCAGCACAAATACATAATAGACAAGAGAGGGCCAAGAAAGTATAGGAGAGAGTGAGAGTCCAGAAGGAGAAAAGATAGAGCAGCTCGTCACAGTAGTCGGGGGAGTCGACATACTCCGGACTCCATTTGATGAAACTGGAGGTGCGATAGACCCACACACTGCCTATAAGGAAAAGACAGAAGATAGAGGAAATAGACAGGTCAGAGATGGGGGGGGGGGGGGGGGGCATTCGTCGTTTTTTAGGACTAAATACACTGCCTAAGAATTAGAAAGAGGTGGAGCAGCATAGAACGAAGAAAAAGAAATGAAGAAAAAGAAAACAATAAGAGAGTACAATCCAATAGCATATGGAGTAAAAATTGAACCAGTTCGTGTCGTAGTCAGATCAAAATAGAAATCTTGTGCTACTTTTTTGATGTGCATGAAATTACTTCCTTTATAAAATCCGCTTAATTGTCATTTTCGAGAACATGACAATATTCATTTATGACTTCTGGGATCTCTTAACTATGTGGGGTCTTTTTACTTATTTAGCCCGAAATCCATATTTCCACAACTCAAACTAAGACTATTTTTTCATCTGAAAGTCTAACTCTAGTCAATGTGATATTAGCGTCCGCTCGAAATAGTTTGTTCACAGTTTCAAGAAGATTTTAAACTAGTCGAATTGACCAAAAATTGGCTTGTTGGGTAAAGTTTTAAAAATTATTTCAAGTAAACAGCACGTTTTTCTCCGGAACACAAAAATCAGGAAAAAAATGTCTATGAGAAAATAATTTGACCCACTTCACATCTACTCGAAATTCGGCTGTTGGACATCGGCTAAAAAAAAAGTAAACGAATTGCTATTGTTTTGTTCTCTATTTTTCAGATTGGCTTATCAAAATTACAAAAATTGGGCAGAATAAATAAAAGACACGGAATGTTATATAATAAAATATAATAAAATGACTTGATTAAAAAATTATGTTTTTTGACGGTCTGTGTTTTGTTTGATAAGCATTTAAACGGAATAGTTTAGCAATAAATTAGCAATGAAATGGTATTTTCTATCGCATTTTTTTAAGTTTTCGGCGCTAAATATCGATAAATTAGCACTAAAAATAGGCGATAAATTAGTCATTTTATCGCCTATTTTAAGTGCTAATTTATCGATATTTAGCGCCGAAAACTTAAAAAAATGCAATAAAAAATACCATTTCATTGCACTTTATTGCTAAACTATTCCGTTTAAATGCTGATCAAATAAAACACAGACCGTCAAAAAACATCATTTTTTTAATCAAGTCATTCTATTATATTTTATTATATAACATTCCGTGTCTTTTATTTATTCTGCCCAATTTTTGTAATATTGATAAGCCAATCTGAAAAATAGAGAACAAAACAATAGAAATTCGTTAACTTTTTTCTTCGAATTTCGAGCAGATGTGAAGTGGGTCAAATTATTTTCTCGTAGACATTTTTTTCCTGATTTTTGTGCACCCCATGAATTTTTTAGAAGTGAGTTTCCAGCTTTTAATCGATGATTATTACCGGGAAAACAACTCGGGCCTATTTTTGCAAAACCGAGAGGGGATTGAAGCTATGTACTCTAGGGGGAGAGGAGGTAGTTAAGAGATCCAACTTTGTTTCAACTTTTAGCATTGTTTGCTTTGTTTCAACTTTTAGCTTTAAATTTTCGTAAGGACTAGCTTCAATTCAAAATAGTAGAACAAAAATTTCTACTAAGAAAGATGTACCTGCGATGAACCATGCGAACAGAAAGAGGTCCAAGATGCACTCGATTGGGTTCTTGCTTGCATTTTTCTCCTTGTTGTCTCTTGCTTTGTTGAATACCTGCGGGAAAAAAGTGTTATACTTGTTATCAGTGGGCTGTATCGTTTTTTTTGAGTGATTTTTTTAAACGCAACAATTTTTGAACGAAACTTTATGATCGTTCTAAATGAGCTGAGCATTGAAATTATTTTCCACGAAAAACGTTTCATTTTTGCTAATCCATTTTTTGGATCAATCGTACAATATTCCCATCCAATCGATTTAGAGGGGAGAAAATATTGATTTTGCAGGAAATATATTTCAGTATAGAGTAAATTTACACGAAATTTACGGTTTAATACAAAAAAAATTGGTTTAAAATGCAATAATTAATAATTAATAGATTTAAAATGTAATTCTACATAAAATTGTGAAAACTAATTTTTTTGTGGGTTTATCCGAAACGCATACCTTGGTTATACAAAATTCAATTTTGAAAGTTATATTTGGCAAAAAGGGGATTGGTCATTTAGAGGGGGGGGGGGGCAGATTATACAGTTGATCCTCTTTTGAGCTCATTGATGTAAATAATATTGTTGTCGAAAAACTTCATTAGTACCTGTTGGCCGAGAGAAAGCAGATTCTTCAGTAGTCCAAAACATCCCATAATTAGAAGCCACTTTGGAATATAAGGCTCAGCCCGACAGTCGTCTAGTTTCAAGGCACCTTTAAAAACATATTGCAGTACTATTTTATAATATTCTCAAGAAAAAAATTGACAACTAGAGCTGCACGTTCTCACCAATGACAATCATGGCAATCGGGAAAGCCAGGAACAAAGCAAGAATAATTGTTGTCGCAACTGAAACAAAATTTTTCTTTATCCAAGTGATTTGAAAGTTATTTAAAGTTTTCTATTTCACCCTCATAAAGAACCAATACTTCCCAGGTTAGATAGTCAGAAGATAAACTTGGCCTTCCTGCAAGGATCTTAAAAAATAAAGACACTCCGCGAAACCCTGCCAAGGGTCATCCAGGAACCCGGTCAATAAAACCCTCGAAAACGAGGCCTGAACAGCAGCTTTATTTAGCCATTTTTTAAACTAAAACAAAAGTTTTCAAGTAAAAACTTCCCCGCGAAAATGTAAATATTTTGGTGTATAAAGTTGTCCAGACTCTATAATTTTTTCACACAAGAGAACCAGAAATAAAAAAAACTGTTTTGTGTGGAGGTAATTATTTTTTTTTGATGCTTCAAATTTATAATATAAGGTTAATTATGAAAGAAAAAGCATCCTAACATTTTTTTAAATACCGTTATTTTAGGTAAAAGCCTTGGGTGTAATTCAAACATTAGCTCGAATGGTGAATCTGCTATGAGTTTATCTGCGAGGTTCTTGCTAACTAACCTACGGTTTTTTCTAACACGAGAAGATCTTTTCGTTTGTTTTGTTTTCAGGCAGCTTCGAAACCATCGGCAAATTTGAAAATTCAAACAAAAACATAAAAGTCCATGCCTGGACTCTTCGACTTATCCAGGAATTCCAGGGCAACCCTTGCAAGCCTTTATCGGGCTTTTTTGGTCCCAGGGATGAACTCCAATGGACTGGTTACCCGGGTTTCTTCTTTAATCTTATCTCTGCAACAATGTTTTTAACAATACTGCAAATAGGTCCCGTGGTTAAAGTAGCTATTCTAAAAGATACGTTCATTAGGTTGTCCCACTAGTTGAACAAAGTTCGGTTGAAAACAGTTTTAGTCCTTGATTTATTATGCTCTAATGTTATTTTATACCGAATGAATTGAACTTAAAATTGAAACTGAATGATCCTCGTATGCAGCTCAACACACTCAAATCGAACGTTGGTCATATCAAAAATTTATTTGACTCGTTTTGATTATTTTGGGGCTGATTAATAAAACAAATTTAAAAAGCGATTTCGGTGTGCTTTCCGATGTAATGAATAGTGCGGTTGATACATAGGACTAGGATAACCAATTATGATGACATTAGAGTTTGCCATATTCAGCTGACAGTAGGTAATTGACAAGAAATTACGACATCTAGTTTTGTGTTTCGGCGCCCTAATTTTTTCAGCTTTTCAACTGTCTTTTTCCATCTATGTGAAGAGAAACTCTAAAACCTTCCTTTGTTTCCCCGAAAAATTTTAACCGATAAACTTTGCTTGCCTAAAAAATCTCTAAACGCACCCCCCTAGCTACTAACGATTCACCACCACTGAAAAGAACTAAATCAATGGTGAAACATGTTTTTGTAGCTAGTACCGGGGATAGTTAATAAGTACAAACACGTTTGAAACCTTAAGTTCAAATACTTTGGGCAGAAAACGAAGTTTTTTTTTACGAACAACTCTTTCGAACAAACTCTGTTTAACTGGCGATGTATCCATTTTATAACACGGGTCAAAACTTCGATCAAAAGTTTAAAGCAATTGCAGAAGAAAAAGACAACGAAAATTAAAAAAGTCATTCGATTGTTCGGTTGAAAAGCAAAAGTTTTTTTAAGTTTTTTGGCGGCAACGTTTTGAACAAAAATTTCCAAAGTGAACTTGATAACATAGAGGGCACCGGCATCAAAAACTGCAAATTGTTGAAAAATACAAAAATCAAGCAATCTTGGATAATGAAATACGCGATGTGAAACTAAAAAGTTTGTAGTAAAACATATTTTTTTGGTAAAATTACTTACGTGAGCCCATCAAGATGGCGACTATCTTCTTTGCGAAGTCCATGTTAGCCCCCCCTGCATCCTCCTTGGCCGCCTTCAGCTCCCCAAACAGAGAGTTGTAAGAAGGCGGGGGTGACCCATTTCCTATACACAAAAAAATCTTTTAAGATAGACGTAGCCAGTTGCTGTGCAAGTAAGCCAAAATTTGTCAGAAAAATCTTTTCGTGTACAAAACTCCATGTACAAAGTTTTCGCGTTTCCGCACACAAGTACTTGTAACTTAGTTTTTGTCGGTACATTAGTTTTGTCTTGGATTCTGTAACGAGCTAAAAATAACAAGTTCGCTGATTCTGCAAATGTAAGCGAAGTCCGCTTTTGGCAGCTTTTGATTTGCGAAGTCTGCTTTTGACAGCCTATTTTTAGTATTCATGTACATATTCTTTGTTTGTGGTTTCTGCAAGCTTTGTTGCGCAAATTTTGTTGTGGGTTCCGCAAATTTGCCTATTTTTGGAGCAATTTTGAGCGATCCAGTGTTTCAGCTTTTTGTTCGCGGAACAATTTTACATTTAAGAAAAAGAATTCTGATATTTTTGTGGTAAAAACTTGCTTGAAAAATGTGGAAATTTGTTTTGAAAAATTTTGATGGAATGTTATTTTTGTGTTCGTAATAACACTTTAAATAATAATAAGAAAAACAAATCCTTCTAAATGTTAAGGACTGTTCAATTTTGTGGACTGAATGAGTGACCTTGAGTTGCCTGGTATCCGGGTGGGTCCTGGCGTCCCTCAACCTCTCCCGATTCCGCATCGTGGTCCTAAAATCGGTGACTCATTTCATTATCGCAGTTTCTCCAATCTCAACTGTAATGCTTTGAAAAATGAATCAGAATAAGTGAATTATGCTAGTATGACTCATTGGACAACAAGCGTTGATTTGATTTCATCATTTTAGAAATTAGGAGTGATAATTCAATTTAGTTTTTTGAAATTGTCGATTGATATAATATTTAACTATAAGCGGCCAGCTTGATATTTTTTTCCGTAATCTGTTTTTATTTCTAATGGAGTTGACAATGAATTGATAATTGTTGAAAAACTTTTTTTTTTTGTGTTTCGATAATAGTTTTCAAAATAAAATCGATATCACAACGAAATGACTTCTAGGTAATGATCAAAACCAAACATAGTTATGAAGAGTTAGTTTGTAGTTTACCGTTGCAGATAGCTCGTATTTCTCTTTCTAAATACAGAAACGAAATTTAATTTTTTCCGTTATATTTATAGTGAAAACATAACTCTGCATTTAAATCGATATTGTCAATGAATGTCTGTAGGCTCAGAACAAACATTAACAAGACTGCTTGTATCAGGGCGAAGCCCTGAATGTTCCGACCGCCTTTTAATGTTTATGGAGCAGTAATAACATGCTAAATAAAAATTTAATGAAATGAAACAAAATGAAAATTTTTTTTTCTAAAATTTGAATTTTTTAAAATGAAAATCATCCCCCACACGCCATATTAAGTACAAAAGGATAGATTTTGCTCCTTGTAACAAACAATTATGGCAAATAAGCTTCTTTCAACCAATTTGGAACGATTTCTAAGACGGATTATCTCCGCTTACGCGTTAATAGCGCGAAATATATCGCTCGTTAATTGTCCCAAATTGGCCAAAATGGCGATCTTTAAACCCCTGTAACTTTACGAAAAATGATCACAGGTGAAATATCTTTTCAAATTTAAGCTCAGGACAACAATACCTTTCGAATGATATTAAAAAATTCCGTCAAAAGTGGCTAGTTAAAAAGTCGACATTTGTCTGAAGAAAAAAAACCCACCCCGAGCACAAATATTCCGTTACTTTCATTTCGAAAGTCGGAACAAAAAGGCTTCAGATGTCTTTTGAATTTTCTTAAAACAGAAGGGCAAGCATTCAAAAACCTAGTCCATGATCTAAATTTCATCAATAGCATCCCGCTGCTAAGTTTTCAATCAACATTTTGTGTTCATTGAAATTTAGAATCCTAAATGTTCCAAAATTTACTATCAAAAATTAATTTCATTTTTTGAAATTATAGTTTTCAAATTATTATATAAGAATCCAGCAATCAGGTTTACTATTTTTTTTATTTTAATTCTGTAGTACAGCTTGAATTTGATTTGAAATTACAAAAATATTCTGTTTTGTAGAACAATTTTTGCTTAAATTTACAGCGTGTTTTAGGCGAAAGCTAAAAAACTGAAGGATTTTGTCAGACATTAACAAATATATCCTGCATATGAGGTAAATGGAAATTGATTTTAAAAAAAAAGTTGAAATAGACGTATACATAAGAAAATGACTAGGCCTTCAAAAAACTGTAACTATTGTAAAGATTGTGACTAACAAATCAGTGCGGGTGGATCTAGGATTTTCTCAAGGGGGACTTTCAAAAAAAAATTTCGGAAACTTTGTTGAATTTTTTTTTAGGTCGGCCAAATTGATTTTCTGAGCTCTCCCAAAACCCAATAAGACCCAATTTTTATCAAACTTTTTGTGCCGCAGGCAAATTGTTGAATAAAAAGTCAAAAAAGGAGCGTGTTTTTTCCGGCGCGCGCTCCCAAAATTAGTTTGTTGTGTCGCCAAAGGCGCCTTTAGAAAAATTTTAGGATCAGTCAGCCAAAAATGAATATCTCAAATCTCAAAATAGTACAAAAGCGGGACTATTTGGATCATCAGGGGGTCAAAATACCTGAGGGGGGGGGCGTCCCCCCTTCCTCCCTAAATCCGCTGCTGAAACAAAACACGATCTGATTTTAAAGATTTTCAGGATTTTTTGTAACTGAAACCATAGTTTTAAATCAAATACCCAAACTTCTCAGTTTGTGCTGACCGCTTACACAAGTTTCAGATCAAGCAGGCCTCTTAAAAAGGAAAAATATTGCTCAAAAACTTTTCATAATCCTTGTTTAATAGTTAGAAGCAGCACAAACTCCCATGAAAAAAACTCAGTCTTGCTATTAAAACCGGGATATTCCAATAAAACACTTGAACTCTTTTTGTTAAGATCATTTCCGCACCAAAATTATATATAAAATGTTGTTGTAGACGCTTCTGAAAAACTAATCCGTGCTCGCGTGTTCTGAATTTTTTTTCATGATGAAAAAAAAGTAGAGAATGCCTAAACGTGAATGATCCAATTTTTTGTACGGTCACTCATTGCTGAGTGTTTTGAAAACTTTTAAGCTGAATATGGAAAATGTAAAATGTTTCCAGGAATGCAGATTACGATAACCTTACCATGATAGTGAGGTTTCTATTTTTTGGGACGAGTTGCTATTGCGGTAATTGAACCATTAAAATAACATGTATCATTGTTATTAACAGATGTATGCCTCCAAGAAAATTGAACTTGAAACAAGACTGCTCGTATCAGGGCAAAAGCCCTGAATGTTCACACTGCCTTTTAAGGTTTATGGAGCAGTAATATTAAAATTAAAAATTAAATGAAAAAAAAAACGAAATTTTTTTTTTCTCAAGTTTGAAACTTTTTATGAAAATCATCCCCCCACACGCCACACGCCATATAAAGTACAAAAAGATAAATTTCGCACCTTGTAACAAATCAATTATGGCAAATAAGCTTCTTTCAACCAATTTGGAACGATTTCTAGGACGGATTAAATAATAGCGCGAAATATATCGCGCGTTAATTGTCCCAAAATGGCAATCTTTAAACCCCCCGTAATTTCACATTAATAATCACAGGTGAAATATTTTTTCCAATTTGAGCTCAATACAAAAATACCTTTCGATTGATATAAGAAAAATCCGTCAAAAATAGCTAGGTAAAAAGGTCGAAATTTGTCTGGAGAAAAAAAACCACCCCGACCACAAATATTCCGTTACATTCGTATCAAAAGTCTGAAAAATAAACTCCTATATGTTTTAGGCACTAAGGAATTGAGCTGGGAGATATCCATCTGCAAAACTAACGTTCCCAGACAAATAATCTGTGTATTGTGCTTTTTTCTGTTTAGACTTTTAGCAAAAATCATTTTCTTAAGTTTAATCAAAAACGTTTTCGGTATACGAATTTAGACGTATAAGCAGTGCCCGTTCAAAAGAACTTGAAAAACCTACTCAGTCACGGAGCAGCCAGTAAAACTTTCTTGCTCGGGTTATCAGTTGATGTGGTAATGACACAAAATGCCCCTAAATAAACGTCGTA